CTATACAAGGCACACTAAATGAATCTTTATCTTCTAATATTGATGAAGAAAGGGCATGACAGAGCAACAGCTGTTATCAAGTGAAAATTTTTCTTACAGCATTCAGTATGATTCCCTTTTGTGGTAATTTGTCTTAAAATTGCAAGTAAAATATTTTGTCTACCAAAAAGATATTTAGACCTGCAAATTGGCAAGTCAATGGTATTCATTTTAATTGAAGCCTTAGGTGTCTGATCCACAAAAGCTCACCCTGTGTAACTTGAAAACCTCTCCGAACCAACAATTTCTATAGCTTCATTGTCATCCATTGAGGGCAAGAAAAACATGCCAGCAATTAATTCAGGGTTGATCATGAAACGGATTTCTTCCTACATATGGTGACCATCAGAAAATATTAAAAATTGAGGTAATTGTATATATGTGAAAATTCAATACATAATAGTCAATATCGCAGCTTAAAAAGTAAGATATGCATACGTATATAGACGTGTGTGTGTGTGTGTGTGTGTATATAAGTAAAATATACGAAACACAGTCTAAAGGATATGGCATGCATATGCAAAAAGGAAAAAAAAAAGCACCAGAATCAAATATACGACAATAGAAGGGTCAAAATGCCTAATCAAAGCAATTAAAAAGATGCACCTGAACACAGCCAGTATGAAGGGCACCCCCCCCTAGATACTTATTAGCAAAATCCACTTCTAGAGCTCCAACAGACTGGTCTTCTATCAATCCTGAACTGTGAACCTACAAGATATGAAAAGATGTTCAAAAGAGTAATTACCGCAGGCAGACCTTGAACTAACCATATGTCACAGATCAAACTCTGAAACAATAAATCAGTTACTTTCTTTTGATACCTCAAAAGGGCAAAGAAGACTGCTAGATTTACTCCAAAAATCAGCCTCATGATAAGCAAAAGGTGAAGAATAATGTCCCATTAATAGAACCTTTCTCTCAAATGACACGAGGCCTGTTGGCATAGTTGTACATATCCTTTCAAAGTAATGAACTATGCAGTGTGCTTTATTTTCTTGCTTTTCACTGTAACTTCCATATAGACTCCTGAAAAGGAATTATGACTCAACAACTCTTACTTGAAGAAACAGAAAAATTAAAATGAGTTTGCTAAAACAAGACATAAAGACCATGGTACCATCAATGAAAAAAATCGAAAGATAATTTTGAGGAAATCAGACATATAGTTTCAGATAAAGGTATATTTTGATGAAATCAGATATGTAGTTTCAAATAGAAGATAATTTTGATGAAATCAGATATGTAGTTTCAGATAAAGGTATATTTTGCACAAGCATGATCCGGAATCTCATCAACTTCCACTCCAGGGAAAGAATAGATGCAAGAAGGTAGATCCAAGATTATGATATAGCAAGCATATTTGAACAAACCCTTCATAAAAAATTGACAACTGCAGGTGAACTGCCAGGTGTTTTCTCTTACACTACATGGCATGACAGCCTTATATGCTTTCTTCCTTGATTACTATCTTCAACTCATCAAAGAGCAAAAATGAGATAAGGTGGGAAAAGTTGTCTGCAGGAGCTCCTTAATTTTTTGCTTCGTATCCATCCACATATAAGGGTTCAAGATCAATAAGCATGCATATTGTAACATATTGTGCATCTCAGAGATAAGATCAAATAGCCAAGGTGTGAAGACATTGATTTGTTACTTCTGTTAATATGGAAATCCATGTCTCCTGCTTTCTTAGTTCTTGATGACTGCAATAGAATATAAGGCATGTTGAACACGCCTCAATTATATCATCTAACTGCCAATTTGTTGGGAGAATTAACTGGTTAAGGCACTTCTTTTCTAGTTAGCATACAAATATAGACATTTCTCATTATCTGACAGTAGTGAAAGGACTTGAGATGATTATAGAATAATAACTTAGTGTAGCTCTTTTTGTGCATTATCTATCTATCAAAGGAAGCAAATCAAATAGTTAAAATGTAAATACTTCAAACCCAATATGCTCAAACTTACAATTATAGACATATAAAACAGTCTAGAAACTGAGAGAAAATAATGCTTAAGTCCACGTACGAAAATAAATGATCAAAGTTGATTGTTGGAAGACGATTTGCACCTCTATTAGTGACTGGGAACAAACAAAAGAAAGAGCATGCAAGAAGAGCCCCAATTAGTTCCTGTTGAAAAGGAATTGCAACTTAGAAAGTTATAGAGGGTAAAGATTGTCAATGGGGGAAGAGAAGACAGTTTAAGTAATTATGAACAAGAGATGAAAAAACTGCCACATGCATGTCATCAAGTACACTTTCATGTTGCTGCTACTGCAGCTAGGACTGTGATCTAATGGATATATATCTATAATATGCTGCAGTGCTCTTAATGAAATTCTCAAGACAGTGTGGATTGCTTCAGTCAGTGAGAAATTCCGAGAATAAAGCAGTAAAAGAAAAGTCATGGGTTTTTCCCTTTAATTCTTAGAACTTTATCATTTGGTAATTTGCTTTATTAGATAGACTATCAAGTAGAGCAAGACATACAAGCCAGGGCATCTTAAACTCTTAGGCTCCATTTGGTTCAAGTCATTCTTTTCCAAAATCTTAATTATTTAATACATAAATTACTTATAAATCAATTTTTTTAAGGCATAATTGAACATATTTCACATGTATCTTTAATTCAACCACAATAAATTTGTTTTACCATTTATCAAGAAAAGAGTTACCAATAATGTAACCCAAATTGAATTGGGCATGAAGCTAACTTTGGTTCTACTAATTCCATTCAAATCTTTATTTCATTTCATTTTTGTATTTGTCTGTTTAATATAATTAATCTTTGAACCACCTCAGGATTCCTTGGGACCCATCAACATAGACTAGTTTTAACTACATTCATAGAATTGACATTGCATGTATTTTCATTCTAAACTAATCTTTGAAAAATACATCTTATTCTTGACGTTCATGAAAGTGGAAAAGAATAGGAGAGAAAACTGGATTTAAAAATATACGGATGATTGAAGATACCTGGCTGAGGAAGACGATACCGGGTTCTTGTGGACCTAGGAGGCGGAGACCAGTTTTAATGCTGCAGTTTCCGCCATCAAGGAGGTTATCTGCATTTTGATAGTGTGATTGCAGTAGAGATGGAAACCGCAAGAGTAAATTTGCCAGTCTTGGAAGGACCTTGCCAAACCATCTAGTTGATTCTTCTCGCGAAATTAGCTGCAAGAAGATCATCCTCATCCATATTTACAACCAATAAAACTACTCATAAACCTAAATTCTCAAAATCGGTTAAAGAAAGAAAATAAGAAAACAGGAGGAGAAGCAGAATTGAAAACCTCATCGAAGAAAACAGCGTAGCCTTCGGGGGCAAAAGGAGCGAGAGAGAAAGGTGAAAGAGAGAGTGAGCTTCTGAGATCGGAAATGGCGAGGGAAAGGACCTCTCCCGAGTCAACTCGGCTGTGTGAGGGGCCGTTTGACAAAGCTTTCAGTGCTTCCACAACCTGTGGTGGCCAAATCAGAGACGAAGATTGAATCGCCAGTGGTAGAAACGGTAGAATAGAGTTAACATCTTCTCTATTCTCCATTTCTCTCTCCTTTCTTTGCTCTTTTCCTTCCTTTCCGAGTTCTGACCGTCTTCAGTCTTCGTCCTCCGGAGTCGGTTTTGAATTTTCCAGCAGGAACTAGAATTTCTGGTTCGCGGGTTCCTATTAGTAGTTCCTTCTTTTTTGTTAAAAATAATAATAATAATAATAATTAAAAGCTCAAATTTATTAAAACATTATTGATAAAATTTATACTAATAACTTTTTTTTTTTCAATTTATGGAAATTCAACATATAAATTTTGGAAATTATCCCAAGAAAATTAAGCTCTTAATTATTTTTTAAGTATACCGTACTTACATTATTTTATTTATTATCTATTTATTATTATTTTAATAAATATTAAAATGTACATCAAATGAATTTCATTGCGGTTAGACTTGTCCATCAAATGAATTAAGTTTACGATAATTTGATACTCGAATATTACTTAGTTTTCTTTCACATCTAATTTTTTTCACGTGATACAAAACTATAAATTAAAATCACACGTTATGAATTAGTAAATATTTTAAACTCTCATATTTTTATTGTTCTATATTCGCCAATAAACCAATATAGATGATTTATATCATATACATATTCGTACATAAAATTAAGACAAGACCTTTTTTATTTTTAGCAAGTTCCGAATGGTTAGAAATTATTCTAATAAATTTATAAAATAATTACAAACGTAGTCATAATATAAATAATTTTAAAAATAAAAGAGTTTTAATTTTTTAAAATTCTTAATATTTTTAAAATTTTTATGACTTAAAACTTTATTAAAACGTATAAATTGTTATTTTACTAAATTAATAAATTTTAATAAAGTTATTTAATCTTAATTAACTATTCTACATTCATAAAATAAAAAGAACCAAAAAAAATTATAACCAATCAACTAATCCCCCTTGGAGCCATTAGATTAAAAAAAAGAACCATTAAAATTACAATTTTATTTATTTATATTCATTTAATTTATGTATCCCATGTGCTATTTTATTTATTTTTTAAATGTAGACAAAATGACGAATACAATATAAAAACTTTTTAAAAAGTTACTAATCTTAGTATTACTTTCGCTGAAGTATATTTAACTGCAGAGTTTTAATGAGATTTAGTACATTAATTATGTGCTAATTTTTATTAAAAATTATATATAATTTAAAAATAAATAAATTAAATTTAACTTACTATTAAAATAATATAATGATTTTTTATTCATTTTATTAAATTTTTAATAAAAATTGTATATTATCTAAATTAGATATATTTTTTTGTCTTATCTAATTTATTGTAGCAGGAAATATAAACATAAAATTAATTAATTAGAGGAAAATTATGTATAAATCTAAAACTGTCGCAGACAATTATACAAACAGATGACGCGCAGTGTAGTTCGATCGAATCTTCTCACATGCAGGCTCCTTAGACCCACCATTGTTGTCTGAAACACGTTGTAATAAACACACACCAGAAGACAGCCATATCCATAGCAAGCAAGCTTCAGGCCTTCTCCGGTTCTTTGTATTTATATATATTTATGCGTGTCTACATGTGCATTTATATATATATATATATTAAATGCTTTTTCGTATATATAAGCGCTAACGTTGGAGCACTTGTAGTTGTCAACGACCTAACAATTCCCCTGAATTGCAGCTTCTTCTGGGTCTTCATCTCTGAACTCCGAACATCTCAATGGAGGCCCAATGGTTGACCGCAACGAACAAGCAGGTTATATCCCACCAGCCGACTCGGCTTGTTGGCTCCCCCATTGGAAACATCCGCCCTATCAAACCGTTCTTCAAGCCTAGTGTTGCTCCAAATCAAGGTTCTTCTTGCACTTCTTACTGATTTACTGTTCGTGCTCATTTTAAACTCTATTGTTGATTTTGTTGGAAATCTCGATAGAAGGATTCATTGTGGTTGAATTTGATTTTTAATTTGGGGAAATCATGCGAAAATAGAGTAACTCTGCAGTCATATATATGAGAATTGATTATTGTTTTACTACCTGTCGTCATCTTCGTCTTCGTTATCATCAAAACATGCTTCATTTTCATGGAGGTTTTCTCAGAAACTCTCTTAGATAAGTTACCGCCCAAAATGATCATTGTTTTCCTCGCTTGCTTACTCAAAGGGTTTTGCCTTAAAATTACGGCTGAAAAGAAGGAGCACCGATCCTCATTTGTGCAAACAGCAGCAGTTCGGCAGGTTACCGGGTCCCTTACCCGAGCGGAAGGCCATCGGTTTGCTGTGGTCAGTTTTTAATTTAAGAAAAGCATTCTGAGATTTTGTTGTGGGTTTGAAAAGCATTAAGAACTTGATGATTCTACTTTATGGGATTTATTTTTGTTTGTTCTCTGTTTTGATATTATTTTTGGATTGATTGTTAACTTTTTCTTGTGGGTTAATCATTGTCTTGCATTCATGATCTTGTGGTGTTCAAGGTTGTGGCGCGGTTTAATGAGATTGTGACAAGACCACTGTTGGAAGGAGCTCTGGATACCTTCAAGAAATATTCAGTTAAAGACGAGGACATTGATGTATGTTTTTGCAGACTTCTCTCAGAATCATATATATCTTTAATTTTCTTTTCTTTTGGGTACATCTCCTTGTTTGTTTCACTGTTGTCGTTGTTCGTATATGCTTTTACGTACAGGGTTATGCACATACATAGGTACGTATTGTACATGTTAGATTGCTTGATTACTTCTCTGTTTCTTCCATTAGGTTGTGTGGGTTCCTGGCAGCTTTGAGACTGGTATTGTTGCAGAAAGGCTGGGGAAGTCGAAGAAATATCAAGCAATAGTGTGCATTGGAGCTGTGGTATGGTTTTGTTCTTTTAGGATGTGCAGCATGGTTACTATCTTTGCTTCTATCCTTATTTTTGGATCCCTGATGTTTTACTTATTGTCAGTAGATCAGAGGCGATACCACGCACTATGATGCAGTTGCTAATTCTGCTGCTTCTGGAGTGCTTTCAGCTGGTCTAAATTCAGGTTGGTTACACATTCTCTGTTCTATAGGTGGTTTAAGTACAGGGTTAGTCAAAGTGAGAGATATGCGGTAAAGGTATATTGTTCCTAATGCTGCTTATGTTATCCTTATCATAAATGTGGAAACAAGGAACATGTGCATAGTCTAAAGACTGAGGAGCTGCGCTAGAAGCAAATACTCTTGTTTCAACTCTCAATAAATTTCCAACCATGGATTTTATTCTTATCTTGCAAAATTGAGAGTCACCGTGCACCATATTTCTGCAGGACTTAATTTAAATGATTCTGCTAGCCTGATGCACATCAGTTTCTTGTTCCTCATTTTTTTTATATTTTTGTTTTTGCTACGAAAAATTGAATATGTTTCCCATTTCTCTCTGTAGGGTTCCATGCGTCTTTGGTGTCTTAACGTGTGATACATGGAGCAGTATGGTCATAGTAGAAAAATTTTACAATGAGAACTATTATGTATCAAGGAACCATCCAGTTCTGTAATTTGGCTATTCTTGTTATCATATGAGATATAATCTTACTCTTTTCATTATAATAATTGTAGGCTCTAAATCGAGCTGGTGGTAAATCTGGGAATAAGGGTTCTGAAGCTGCTTTGATAGCTGTAAGTTGAAGTTGTTAAATATTATTCAAAATTTCAGTAGTTTTTGTTGGTTGATTTCTTTTATTTTGATTTGTTGGAAGATCTGTAAGATAGTGATAGAGTTGAATCAGACTTTGAAATTAGAGGAGAGATACCTCTTAAGCGAAAAAACAAGGATACCAACTTGTATCTATGCTTTTCAACTGCAGCAGCATCAATATTTAATTTTTGTGATCCATTTCAAGGAATTCGATAGGTGAATGGTTGAACCTACTTGGTGTGTCCTTCCACTTCTTCCCGATATTTGTATAAGATTCTTAATTTTCAATGTATCATAAAATACTATGGAACATCACATGCAATGCAGGCATCTATGCTTGCTTATGTGGCTTGCTTTTACTAGATTGCACATAATATTCTTTTGCTAACTGTGGGGAGACCGGAGCACCCCTCAGATGGATTTTTCATGGCAATTGCACATTGAACTTGCATATTTGAGCTTTAGAGTGGTGGATTTCTGGTTGGGCATTATAGATATATGACTCTTCTTGGAGTAATTTGTTCTTCCAAATGAATTGGCTGTCTTATAGGCTGTCAAAATAGATTTTCTTTTTAGAAACTCTGCAAGTGTTTTTGCCTTTTGTATCAAAGAACCAAGTCATGAGTTTATGATGGTTATGTTAGATGCCTCTGTAATTCACACCAATATATGGCGGCAAGAAGAGAAAAATGCATTCAAATCTTGTTTCTATAGTTGATTGAAGAATTCTTATATGGTTAATCTACTATTTCTGCAGATTGAGATGGCATCCTTGTTTGAGCACCACCTGGTTCCGTGATTATGCTGTTCGAAACTTACTTGAATGCTGTCCCTTTTTCCCCCATGTTTTGTTTCTTTAGGTATCAAGGCTTTTTTTTGTAATTTTTATGTTTCAAATAAGAAAAGGTAAGACATTCATCCGGGGGTCTTTTGTTGTAATGTGTTCTTGTACTCAAAATGGCTGTGGTAAATTCCTGGAGAATGTCTTACCAATTGCTATGCTGTGAATTCTTCTGCTTTGTTGGTCGTTGAATGAGAATTTTCTGCCCTCTGGACCTTGTTTGGTGAATGTTGAGCATTGAGTAGAGTAATGTTCAAGTCTAAGGCTCTGGTTAGTGAAATGCAAAGAACTCAATGAGGATATCGATATTTTCTTCTGAGGATCAAATCGGAATCGTTTTATTTTTTCCGATTTTCTTTCGTCCTCTCCAAATAGAGCCCAAGAGGAGGTAGATCAATATGTTTTCTTTCACCAAAAGCCGAAAGAAATTGGGAAAAATTTCCATTGAATGTAAGGAAAAATCTCATGCACATATCCCAAATGGGCGTAGATATATGTATATCTGAGTGGGATAACAGAGAGGTGGACAAGGAGGTGTTTATGTTTTGGATTTTGTTGTTGGAAAAGAGAAAAGAGCATATAACTTGAGGAGGTATGAAAGCTGAGACAGACAATACCTGCCTTGGTCTATACTCCATTCCAAACTGCCTACTATTCCCATTTGAAATTCTCTATTACTCTCTAAGCTTGATCCAAATAAACAACTATATCGATCTTGCTCCCGACTCATAAATCAAAACATTACCCGAAATCTGAATAACTAAAAAGAAACTTAGGTACTGAAAGTTTGAACAATCTGATATCTAAAATATATAACTGTAATAATTAAATTTAAAGACGAAACTCAGACCCACTTATAATCGAATAAGATCTCACTCAAAATTACAAGATATCGGCGTCTACAAGAACCCGATTTTGAAATGAATTGAAACTCAATTAGTTCGGAAATATGAAATGGTACCAAAATTTCTCTAACTTGATAACCCAAATGACTTGAAACCCAAAATCTGATCAACCAGATCTTGACCCAAAATTAATCCGAATCTACCTGCTCCTAAAATTAGTACCTGTTTAACAAGTGTATACTCATATGCACCTTTAAATTCTCTACAGGAAAAAAGCTAACCAAATGTCTCCAAACAAAGAATAAAGGAAAAGGGTACTGAGAAGCTTAGAATCAAAGTCATTAGTAGTAAAGATCTCTAACAATACCTTCATATTTTTGAAGATCAATCTGCTTATTGTCTCATTAACTTGATAATAATAATAAAATATCAACAACGACAAGAAGCATGATATACATATATATATATATGCATAGTATGGGATGGTGTATGATGATGATCATCATCTACCTATGCATGGAGGATCTATCTACAGTAACCATGAAGAAGAAGGAACCCCAATATTCTCTTTTCTGTAAACTATTAAAACCAGGAAGTTGCAGAGAGGAAGAAGAACAACTCATTGAGCAAAAAGACTATTAAGAACTTCAATGCTTGGACATATCACTTGGCCTATTGCCATAATCATATCTTCCTTCTTCTTCTTCTTCTTTTCTGTTCTGTAATGATGAAACTACAGCTTTCTTCTTCTTCCTCTGCCACCCTTGTGAACATCCAGGCAAAGCTTCCCATTCTCCAAGGTGGATTCATTAATCACCAAAACAAGTCACTAAATCCTTCTTTTTCATTGTCTTCTTTATATCCTAGCTTCTTCATATCAAACTCACTACATCACTCTCAGTATCCCAGCTGGTCATTCCCTCCAGTGAACCAGGTTAATATATCTTCACTCATATCTCCCAGTTCCCTACTTATAATCCATGGTGTTCTTATCCAAATTTTCCTTTTTAATGACAGAGTGTTGCAGCAATCCTATTCGGAGATGGGTCAAAAGCAGGGCTCTACCCTCTAACAAAGAGAAGATCAGAAGGAGCCATACCCATTGCAGCAAATTATAGGATCATTGATGCAGTTGTCAGCAACTGTCTCAACAGCAACATAAACAAGATTTATGCTTTCACACAGTTCAACTCTGCTTCTCTCAATTCTCACCTCTCAAGAGCTTACTCCAGACTCGGGAAAGAAGGTTTCGCTGAGGTCATTGCGGCTTATCAGAGCCCTGAGGACCAAGGCTGGTTTCAGGTACTCTATCACGGAAAATTCTATATGAAATTCTATTAGATTCATCCCTCGAGTAAAGTAAGTCACATTGATCTAAATCACGTAAATTCCATGTCTTTTATTTTTATACTTTAATCTAATTGCTTAATTTCCATTTCACACAACAAATTTACTGCAAAATATCAAGAACCCACCTGACCACATTAGTATTCATGTATCATATTTGTATCTCTATAACCATCCATGGCTTTTCATTAACATATAGCTCCTGACCTTCTAAGGGAACTGCTGATGCAATGAGAAGATGCTTGTGGGTTTTGGAGGAGTATCCAGTGATAGAATTTTTAGTGCTTCCTGGCCATCATCTTTACAGAATGGATTACCAGAAACTAATTGAAGCTCATCGGACTGGCGAGGCTGATATAACCATTGTTGGTTTAAGCGCAATCAGAGATCGAGATCCTGGTTTTGGCATTTTGGATTTGGATTCAGCAAATCAAGTTATAAAATTCAGTCACAAGTCTGGCAACGTGCAGAGGAATGGTTGTATTTCAGTAAGTGGCTCTCAGCTTTCACATCATTTTAAGGGATTGTTTGGCTTAAGTACCTAAGAGAAATTTTATAAGCTAGTGAACAACTTATAAAAGCAGTAATAAAAGCTATAAAAAGCTTATAAATTGCTTTTTGTTAAGTTAAACCAAACACCCTTTTTAATTTAGGAATATATGACACCTCCATTCTGGATTTTTACTAATTCTTGGAAAAAAAATCAGGTAGAAAGCTCAATGAAACCCAACAGTGCTATTCTTAATAAAATTCAGAGTATGGGAATCTATGTGATTAACAGAGACAAAATGCTGAAGCTTCTAAATGAAAGCTTTCCAGAGGCAAATGATTTTGGAATTGAAGTAATACCAGGAGCAATAAGCATAGGAATGAAGGTTAGATCTTGACTTCTTTACCCATCTAAAATAAAGGTATGTTTGTAACCAATGAAAATCACTTAGCAAAATCTTAGATTTCCAAAGGAATTTTACGAAAAACAATTCGATTTTCCAAACAAATCCTAACCCAGTTCAGATTTCCTTCTTTGTCTGACTGGGTTTTGTTGGTTGGAGGACAGGTGAAGGGTTATGTCTTTGATGGATACTGGGAGGACATGAAGAGCATAGGAGCATTTTACAGAGCTAACATGGAATGCATAAAGAAATCTGATATGGAATACAAGTCAGTCCTATTTTCTTTATTTCACAAAATATCTTATGAAATATTAGTGGATTTTCTTTTGGATTAATCGAAAATCTTGATCATATGTGACAGTTTCTACGATAAACATTCTCCTCTCTACACCATGCCTAGATGCTTGCCTCCAACTTCTGTGGAAGATGTTGTTATAATAGACAGTTTGATTGGAGATGGTTGCATTCTCAATGTAAGAACAATTCTTTCTTTGGCTTTCCAACTTTCAAACGCACTACTTAATACATTTTTTCTGTCATAGAAACCAAACTTCTCGACTTGCAGTATTGACATTAAACTCTATATTGGTACGAGTCGATTTCTAAATTTCTTCTATACTTGTAAATTTTCCGTTCTCAAACATACAAGAATTTAAAAAGCGAAAATTTGTGAAGCTTTCTCTTTTCTAAGTATACAAGAACTTATTAAAATCCCGAAATAATTTTCTATAACTAAAGAGAGATATAAGATGTTTGTTTAATATCCAATTTCTTTCAAATCTACAACTTTTTAATACTCGTAAATTTAGTTTAATAAATTTTAGTTATTTTTTCAATTTTTTGTTTATCTTTGTAAGAGTAGAGATGCAACATTAAAGGAAGCGTTGTAGGCATGAGGACAAGGATTAGAGATGGAGTGACAATCGAGGACTCTGTAATCATGGGTTTCGATATCTATCAAGTAATCAACTTTTTCATTATCTCCTTCAGTTGATATGTTGTTGTGGTCTTTTATACAATACTGTGAATAGGAGATAAATTCGTAAAATCTCTCGGTTAGCATTAGCGTAAACCCTCTAATAATTAAATTAAAATACGATTTAACATTTATCTGTGAATTGTAAACAGAAAGAAGATGATCAGAAGAGTATCCCAATAGGCATAGGGGAAGATACTCTAATTAGAAAAGCTATTGTTGACAAGAATGTAAGAATCGGCAAAAACGTAAAGGTATACACCACTACTCTATTTGTTTTCTATATATTATATGTACACTAAATTTGTATTCTATACTCTTTAGTATTCTATATGGTTGGATTTTGAACTGAATTCGAACTCGAAGTTTCTTAATATCAATATGAATAGTTTTTCGGGTTTTTCATTTTTTGATATTTAATTCTAGTTCGGAATAACAAAACTTTATCGGATAATGAAAATTTCTTAATTAATATATGTTTTTTAACATTATTATTTACCTTAATTACTTTTTATTAACTCCAAATGCAGATAATTAACAAAGACAATGTACAAGAAGGAGACAGGGAAGCAAGTGGATACATTATCAGAGAAGGCGTAGTAGTTGTTATTCGCAGTGCAGTTATTCCCGACGGAACAATTTTATGATTCTATTATTTTTAATTTAATTACTCATTAATTATAATTTTTTAGAATTAATTAAATAAAAAAGAACTATAAAATATTGAAATTTCTATTTAATTTCATTTATGTACGAAAAGAATTTTAAGAAAGAGAAATTACATGAATTTTAATTTTAATAAAATGATCGTGCCTGTTAAAAATAGAAATAAACAGAATTTGTTGTTCTTCGTTTTTGAAACGTCGTCGTTTATGGAAATGACGATCATGCGTGTTAAAAATAGAAATAAACAAAATTTGTTCTTCGTTCCTGAAACGTCGTCGTTTACTAAAATTACGACAAGAGCAAAAACCTTGGTGGGTCTACCAGTTGTCTGCTGAGTTTTCACTTATCTGTGAGTAGAAGCTCCTTCTTCAAATGTAATCTCCATTGTCATCACTCTGGTTTTCATGGGTATGTCTTGTTTTCTTTCCTGTTAAATCATCATTTCTCTTTACTTCGATTTTCCATTATCAACTCCGTCTCGAGTGTTAAGTCTTTTTGTTTCTTTTGGATAAACTCCTTGTCTGTAAAAAGAATAATGCAAGTATTGATAAACGCAAACCCTAGCCAAAATGGCTTCAAACCCTTCTTCTCCACTCCAATTACGCCTTTTAATCTTCCGCCAACTAATTTCCGAACTGGGTTTCTGCAAACCCAGAGGCCCCAACTGGGGTTTTGGAGAAGTTCTGTAAACCTAGGTAGAGATCAATCTGCTGTTACTAGTACTAGTACTAGTAAGACTGCTAATCACAATTTTGTAAATGAAGAAGAAGAAGAAGAAGAAAATGATAATGATGGTGAGGATTGGGAATTGGAGTTCCTTGGGGAGCTTGACCCACTGGGATTCCAACCTCCAAAGAAAAGGAAAAAGCTAAAAGAATCCAAGTTGCTTCAAGGCACTGAAGGGATGGACTGGTGTGTTAAGGCTAGGAGGATTGCTCTTAAAAGTATTGAAGCTAGGGGGTTGGCCAGTAGAATGGAAGATTTGATTAGTGGTAAGAATAAGAAGAAGAAGAAGAAGAAAACTACTAAAATGGTGGGAAATAATGATAAGATTAGCAAGAAGGTCAAGGGTATTATAGATGATTTAGAGCATGATTCAGAGGAGGATGTTGGGCTTGAAAATATTGATGGTAGTACTCTCGATCTTCGGAGAAAGGTGAGTATGATGGCTAGTGGGATGTTTGAGGTGAAGAAGGAGAAGGCTATGGAAGAGTTTGTTCAGAGGCTGTCTCAATTCTCGGGGCCATCTGATCGTAGAAAAGAAATCGACTTGAATAAAGATATAGTTGAAGCGCATACTGCAGAGGAAGTGTTGGAGGTTACAGCTGAGATGATCATGGCTGTTGGAAAAGGGTTGAGTCCATCACCATTATCCCCTCTAAATATTGCCACTGCACTTCATCGAATTGCTAAGAATATGGAGAAAGTTTCAATGGTGAAAACTCGTATGTTAGCATTTGCCCGTCAAAAGAGAGATGTCAATGCTTGTGGCTCTTGCAATGACAGCATTACCAGATTGCTCAGCCCAGGTATCTCAAATATCTCTTGGGCTTTGTCCAAGATTGGAGGCGAGCTGCTTTATTTCTCGGAAATGGATAGATTTGCAGAGGTAGCATTGACAAAAGTTGGGGAATTAAATTCTCAGAATGTTGCTAATATTGCTGGGGCTTTTGCTACAATGCAGCACTCTGCGCCTGAACTATTCTCGGAACTGTCAGAAAGGGCATCAGACATTATTGACACTTTCCAAGAGCAGGAGCTTGCTCAGATGTTGTGGGCTTTTGCCTCTCTATACGAGCCAGCTAATCCTCTGTTCGAGTCCTTGGATAATGTTTTCAAGGACACAAGTCAATTTAAATGCTGCTCAAGCAATATCTCGGATCACAATCCTGACTTGGAAAGAGTTTTAGACTCTTCAATTCTCAGTTTTAACAGGGATCAGCTTGGGAATATAGCTTGGTCTTATGCTGTTCTTGGGCAGTTAGACCGGCTTTTCTTTTCAAATGTGTGGAAAACTCTGAGCAATTTCGAGGAACAAAGAATTTCGGAGCAATACAGGGAAGATATCATGTTTGCTTCACAGGTTCATCTTGTGAACCAATGCTTGAAACTTGAGTATCCACAGCTTGATTTATCCCTCAAGCATGAGCTTGAGGAGAAAATTTCTAATGCAGGAAAAACAAAGAGGTTTAATCAGAAAACAACATCATCTTTCCAGAAAGAGGTTGCTCGTCTACTCGTTAGTACTGGCATGGATTGGGTGAGAGAGTACAGTGTGGATGGGTATACCTTGGATGCTGTTTTGGTTGATAAGAAGGTTGCTTTGGAGATTGATGGACCAACTCATTTCTCTAGAAATACTGGTGGGTTGTCTTTGATTTTTTGCTCACGTATTGTGATGCTTTGAACTCATCTCATTTAGCCGCACTGATCTTCTGCAGGGAAACCATTGGGACACACAATGCTGAAACGCCGGTACATCACTGCCGCTGGTTGGAATATTGTGTCATTGTCACACCAAGAGGTGACTCCTAGTCTATTTATGATTGGAATTCCCTATATATATATATATATATATTCAATGAAGAAAATGTTAGGTCAAGTATAACCCATTGCAACTGTTGAACTAATGGAATGTAATTATCACAAAATGTTTATTTTACCAGAATCTATTCACTCACTAGGCTGAAGTTCAACTTGCTCACCTCGACTTTCGTCAATACACTAATAAATTAAATTTTAAACTCACCAAATCAAACATTATGAGTCGATTACTGTCAACTCATAATGTATCTATAAATTGACGAGTTATACATGTATATATGTAAAATGACGAGCTTTATATGTATATATGCATATATACATACACTATTGAGGTTCTCTTTCCTTCCGAAGGTAATTGTTCTACTAAACTTATCCTCCATGTCAACCAACATTACGATGAGTGTGGATGTTTCTAAGTCTAAGCAATCCTACTGTAAGAACTAGCACCCAAATTTCTGCATATGTAGTTGTATACTTACAAATGTAGGTGTATTTGATCATGTTGCTCAAATGATTAGGAAGATTGACCCATTTCATATGCAATATAGCTTGAAGTTTTCCTCATTTAACATAATGGCCTCTTGGCCTTCTTGTTTTTTGCTCTTTTTGGTGCAGTGGGAGGAACTGAATGGGAGTTTTGAGCAGCTAAACTACCTAAGAGAAATTCTAAAAGACCACCTTGGGGAAGGCAACCACAATGATCTGTAATTAGTGAGGAAGATTGAAGAGCATCATGGATTAGTTAGTGAAATTCGAAAATTAATTTCAAGAACAGAGGTTACTGTTTTTGTCAAACTATATATATATATATGTATATTATTTACTGGTTTTTTAGATATTTTTTAATTAAATATGATAATTTTGAGTACAAATTAGTCTAATTCGATTTCCGAATGTTTTCTAACTCAATTCTCGTTTTGGTGTGGTTCAATTGCGGATTGATAAACATCTCTACTCTTTTCAGATTAAACCGTGAGTGTATTCTAATCGAATTCAAACTGTGAAACATCTTTTTTTTTTTCAGATTAATAAATATCCCTACTTTATATATGATAAAAAATTAAATTATAAAATTAGAATTAAAATTAAAAATTAAAAAATTGTAACTTGTCGTAGTTTTTAGTAATTATACTCCATGGACTTTAATTGATAAGATTATGAATTAATTTAATATCAAATCTTTAAAAAAAAATTGTCAAATTATATTTAAATTACCACCAACACGGTTGATTAAGATTTTTATTTTTTTATTTGAAATATCAATAGTTCGAATCTCGTTACAAATTTAAAATTTGTTATTTTATAAATGTATTATAGGTTAGTAATTATCGGTTCATAATACTTTGTTCAGTAAAACTAGTGAACTAAATTATTAATATGTTAGTGAAAGCGTAGTAACTAAGTTAAATTTAGTGTCCTTAAACTAAGACGTATTCAAATAAAAATAATATTTTATGATAATTAAATTTTATTTATTAAAGTAGTCACAGTAGAATAAAAATTTAATTAAATATTTTTTAAAAAAAATTATATTTAAATTGACGACGACAGATATAAAAATATTATAGAATTATTAATTTTTTTCTAAACGTGTATGATTTACGTAATTAACGACGTGTGATTATTGAATTTGAATTTATACGTAAATTAATAAATAAAATTATTCTACTTATAACTATATAATAGATCTAAATTTTTAAGAACACTAAATAAATATATTGCGTTAAGGAAATGATTAAGTCAAATTTAAATTTATTCAATTTTGTGCTTAAATAAACATTGAGTAGTAGTCCAAAAGTTATTTAGGAAATTAAAAAAGGAAATTAAAAACAAATAAATCGTGTTTTTCATGAAGAAAAAAAGCAAAATAAATAATTGAATAATCAGCGGAAAGATAGGGGAATAACACGTGATCGCAAGTGGGCCGTACTCCTCCTTGCAGGTGCTTGGGTCGGCACCTCACGTAATCGTGACACGTGTCCTTCCTTACAAATCAATCTATTTATTACTCTCACCATTATCACCACCCTTAAGTAAGGTCGCTTGCTCTATTTTAGCTCTCTCTCTCATATTCGATTGCCTGAACTCTCGCAAAAGTTTCTCCGATCGGTTTCTTCTTCTTCCCGTAATCTTCACCAGGTAAATCTGTACTCAACTTGAATTGTGATAATCTTCTTCGTTATTTCATTTTTGTAATTATTACTTAATTTTATGATTTAGTTTGTGATGGTTGATGAATAATCATATGAGAGATCTAAGCTTTCGTTTATTCATTTGTCTGATTAATCCAGAAATCAAACATCTCTGTTCTGTTTGATCAGTGTGGATTCTCATTTTAAGTAGTTGTAGGTCGTTTCCAGATCGTTCTTTCAACCATATTTCTTCTTCCTTTCGTATCCTCACTTTCTGGAATCTTCGCCGTCTTCCTTTCTTTTCATTGTGTATATCTGGAAGAATGCGGACTGATATCTCCTTTTTTTTTTTATATATGTTTCGTCCAATCAGAAGTGACCTAATCAAGAACTTTAGTTCACAAGTCAACGCGTTCTTTAACATTATATGATTCAAGACACTGTGTTCATCCAAGTGATATGTAGATTTGACAATTTTTTTTTTTGGTTTCAATCGGTGGCTTTCACATTTTTCTATACGTGTATTTAGCTTTTCAACCGTCTGCCATTAAAGGTTTCTTGTTGATTTATAGAGATCTGAGAAATGTGATTATATCTGTTCTGTTTTTAATGCTTTATTGTGCTTAGCTACTATTGATTAGTGGCTGTGGTTGATTGACTATTACGGTGTTATGGATCGACCATTGTCTCTTCTGTGTCTATTTCGTCTAATCAAAAGTGATCTAATCAAGAAGTTCAGTCCACAAGTCAACGAGTTCTTTACCATTATATGATTCAAGACCCCGTGTTGATCCAAGTGATATGTAGATTTGACTTCTTTTGTTTCAATGGGGGGCTCTCACATTTTTTCTGTACATTGATTTTTTCTTGTTTTTAATGCTTTATTGTGCTTAGCTAGTGTTGATTGGCTGTGGTTGATTGATTATTGTGGTGTCATGGATCAGGCATTTTCTCTTCTGTGTTTTATCTTTTTCTCTTCCTTTTGTATCCATAGTCTTTAACGGCTTTAATTTTTGTTGCTGTTAAGGTATGGCATCATCTGATGAACCAGAAGTAACTGAAAGGGGTCTTAAGAATGAGAAGGATGAGGAAGACAAAGAACAAAAAGGGGGATTTCTTGAGAAGGTGAAGGATTTCATCCATGATATTGGTGAGAAGATTGAGGAGACAATTGGATTTGGGAAGCCAACTGCTGATGTTACTGCTATTCATATCCCTAAAATTAACCTTGAGAAGGCAGAGATAGTTGTTGACGTGCTCATAAAGAATCCGAATCCCATTCCCATCCCCTTGATTGACATAAACTACTTGATTGAGAGTGATGGAAGGAAGCTAGTTTCTGGATTGATTCCGGATGCTGGGACTATAAAGGCACACGGGGAAGAAACTGTGAAAATACCAGTGCATTTAATTTATGATGACATCAAAAGCACATACGATGATATTGAACCTGGAAGCATCATCCCATACAAGGTCAAGGTTGACCTTATTGTAGACGTACCTGTTATTGGAAGGTTGACTCTACCACTGGAGAAAAATGGGGAGATCCCGATACCTTATAAGCCTGATGTTGATCTTGAGAAGATAAAATTCGAGAGGTTCTCTTTTGAAGAAACAGTTGCAGTTCTTCACTTGAAATTAGAAAACTTAAATGACTTTGATCTGGGCCTTAATGCACTAGATTATGAGGTTTGGCTATCTGATGTCAGCATTGGAGGTGCAGAAATCAAAGAATCTACAACGATCAAGAAGAAGGGAATAAGTTATATTGATGTTCCCATCACCTTCCGTCCCAAGGATTTTGGTTCTGCTCTGTGGGACATGATTCGAGGAAGAGGTACTGGCTACACCATAAAAGGACATGTTGATGTGGACACACCTTTTGGAGCTATGAAGTTACCCATTAGCAAGGAGGGTGGTACAACTAAATTCAAGAAGAATAAAGAAGATGGTGGTGATGATGATGATGATGAGGTATATCAATCCTGTGGTTGCAAAAAAAAAAAACTCTTATATTTTGCATTCTTAACTGTATTATGTGGTTGTAAATTGTCTTCATTGTCATGGTTCATTATTCCTGAAGTTAGAAGTTCAATCCCTCACGGCATGTATGTTGATTGTTACAAATCATTGTTTGTTGCTTACTGATGCACTATCATCTTTTCTCATTGATACATTCATGTGGATCATGGATTGCTGAGTCAAATATTTACACATTTTCCTTATGTGCAGGATTAAACAAAGCACTTATGGGAGTTATTCAATCACTGGCTTTTGTTAGTTGTTGGTACAACTGTTTACTAAAATAATATATTAGCCGATGCTTGACACCATGGAAACAACTTCTGAGGATGATGCACATACATCTTAGACACAAAAGATGGTATTTTGTATTTATATTTTTACGCATGAGTTTTCATGGTGATGTAGACTGCCCTATGTGGGGCATTTTATTTGGATATCTACTCTTCTGAGCGTCTGGATCCAGTGGTTGTAACTTTTATCTTCTGAACTTGTCTGGTTAGTTCGGTTGCTTGTGTTTCGGTTGACTTGTGGATTAATTTATGTACCTGATTAACGATGTTGTGTTTAGTAATGATCCGCTGTTTTCTCACTTCTTTTAGCTTCACTCTTCACCTTTCAGATATTAAATCAAACTTCTGTCTTAGGGAGAGCGGATGTTAGTCATCCAATTGTGGCTCTCGTTTTCTCTGGATAAGGTTACCCCGAGTTTACAATATTAGTTATTCTTCAAGGAATAGTGTTTTAATTGTTAGATTACAAATCTTATAAGTTTTTCTTTGAATACATAACTGCTGAAAAGTAAAACATTTAATGTTGTAAGTTGAATCATATTGTTGGGATCTTTTTGTTTGTGCTGTCCTTATTTAAAGGGGTTTGTAATATATGATTGGGTTGAACCTTGGACATAAGAGAGGCACATTTAAGCTAGGATGCCAATCAAGCTGAGTGCTGCTAGTCATGGATGTTATGTAATATTCGGGTTCAAAAATTTAATTCGGGATAATATTTTTTTTAATTTATAAAAAATATATATAAATAATTAAATTTTATTTTAATTTAATTTTATTAAATTTTTGAGAAAAAAATAAATAAATAATAAAATTAAAAATAATTTTAAAAAAAATTAGTGAAAGTGTAAATAAAGAGAATGTTTTTTAAAAAAAAAATTAAAAACAAAGGGTAGAATCGTAAAAAGAAAAAGTTTGGTTACGTGGAACGATCCGATCAGTAGTCACAGCGAACCAGAGCACGTTACGTGGTAAACACGTTAACATCGCCACCACGCAGGAGGCCACGTGGGCTATCTGCTTGCCTAGGCGATCTGACAGTTCAGATCACATCTCCCGTGGACGAACAGCTTAGATGAATTCCCTCTTTATATGTGATTGAGCAGATGAGATTGAACACGATAGACAGCTCAGATTCGTCTACGTAATCGGCCTAAACAGGTAACGATCGGACAACTCTTCTCGTTCCACGTCAACGCGGATGAACGACCAGGATCGAAGAGAAGAGAGGCATTTAAACTTCTCTTCAGTTGCTCTGAAACCCTAGTTGACACCCAGTCAAAGAAGAAGAAGAGGAGGCGGCCCAAGGGAAGACCAACTGCTGGAGAGACGCTGCCGCAACCGCACTGGAGCCACCGCCGACTGCCAAAAAAGGTAAAAATTTTCTCTTTCCCCTCGGAATTCAATCCCGAGTCTCCCTATGGGCATATCGGAGCAAAAGAGTCGACGGATGAGCCGAAAATTGCAGGTAAAGCTCGGCCGACCCGCCGCTATCAAAACCCAAAATCATTTCCGATGACTCCCTTTTTGTTTCTCATTTCATGCAATTCTTTGACCATCGTGTTCACCATCTCTTTCTGGTGCAAATTAGCCAAAGAAGAACTCCAACCACGAAGGATGACCGGCGAAGCCACCGCACCCGAAGACTTCCCCGCTGGTAGGTGTCGATTTTTTTATTTTTCTGGCTAACTGAGGCTTCCTAACGTGTTTTTTCATTGGGATATGTGTAAAATCGACCAAAACTTGCTAAAACCATTTAGGCTGAGGCGAACCACCGTCATGGGTGGCAGAGCCAGCCTCGGAGAACGGCGTCGTTGCCGTACCGGAACTCTAAAATTTGCCATAAGGGTTTTTCAACACCAATTTCAGATTTTTTGAATATTTTTAGGTACGTGACAAGTATTTTTAATCTTTACGAAAAAAATTCAAGAAAACCAGGGACCGTCAAGAGGTGTAGTAGATAGGACAGTGTTTTGAAACATTAATCCGGGTAAGAATTTATTACTCTATTCTCTGTTACAGTAAATTGAGACTTAATAATCGATAAATTATATTTTTTAAAAAAAAATAGAAAATTTTTAAAATAATTAAAGGTCACTAGTAGAGTCGGAACTGGTCAATTTATATTTGACATGATTCACTGTTTATTTTCATGTATTGCATGAATTGCGTACTATTGTATTGTACTTATTTAATTGATAGTTTTGATTGTTTTCTCAGTTGTTTGGTTTACCTCACTGCACATTTCCGTATTGGTCTATCCTGAAATAAAATATCTCAATTATATTCTTAATGTGCATATCGCCTGTTTGCATAACCTACAGTTGATTTACGAATACCCTTTAAGTTCCGGGTCTCTACAAGTGAGCATATACTTTCTTCATATTCGAATTTCATCTATTTGTTTCAGATTATTGTTGAAAGTAGTGTTTTTCTTACTGTAGTATTATTGTCATATGCTTTAATGATTAGTATTTTCACTCATCTAGCCAAAAATATAGATTCGAGAGTTTACTTATAAACATATTATCGTGAAATAATTGATAAAAAAAAAGAAAAACTAATAGAAATTGTTATATTATTATATATATATTACAAGATTAGTTTATTTTTATATTTAAAAATTACGTAATATATAATTTATAATCAAGTAAAAATGAAAGACATGCAATTCTGCTTACTTATATATGTGTCCATAATTATGTATTCCAGTTAGACTATGTTTGGGGAAGATCATTGAGGTAATGGTTGTTTCCTGGTCCCATCCGCTGTAGCTGTAACAATCCGGAACATAAAAAAAAATTACAAATTAAATGCAAAAACGAAATAATAGTATTAGGGTTTACATTCTTACACAATAATCAGAATACC